ATGGCTTGAAACTGTATTTCATTTGAGAGGAGACAGCATTGGGAAAAGTCTTACTCTTCACTCCTTGTAAAAATGTAAATATATAATGAGAGGAAAAAAAGATATATTGTGAGATTAACAAAGATTCTTTCTGGTAGAATTTTAAAACTGAACAGACCATTAAACTGCACTGAACTTCAATCTGCTGCTGCTCCCAGAGGATGAACTCCACAGCGGTCTACCATCACTTCCAATTTTCGCCACACGGTGTCGCTGTTTTCCCTGTTTTCGCACTAGTGATCTGTGATGATTCGCCGTTGGTCGATCAACAGTCAGGACAGCAAGATAACAGGACAGCAGATATCATTATTTTAACGACCGGGACTAAAGCGAAAGCGACGGATAACACAACTACATTTGATTTTTATGCTGTATTATCCTGACAGGAGAGCAAACCCAGATTGCATATGTTTTTGGGAACCGGGACCTGCTTGTGATTTGGATCTCCATAGGAATACCGTCCAGCTCTCCTCGCTAACATGCATCTCTGCGACTGAATTTGCAACAAACCTAAACTTCTGGATCTATCTGTCTGGATTAACACACAGCCAGGAGAAGTCCACCGCCTGCATCACCCGTCTATCCAAATACAGCCGAAGCTATGCGGCGCTTTCGATTCGCAGACCTACCCGGTTAGCTAGCTAGTAGCTAGCTAGCTTCTCGGCTCGCTCGTGCAGCTGCAAGCCGGGGACGCAGCGCTTCAGGTCGGCGTGCGCTCTAACGCCATGTCGCTGTCTGAAAGCGGCCTACTGGTAGTGTTTGTTTTTCTCAGCTAATGTTGGCGGTGTCCAGCAGCTCGTCGCTAATTCTTGCTTTTTAGGATAGCAACAGGCTTATATGTTCGTAGACCTGCAATAAAATTGAAAACAAAATAAATGAAGAGGATTTATTCGACTGGGAATCACCTGCTGGAGGCTCCACATGTAAACAAGCCTGGCTGTGTGTGTTTGGGGGGGATAGAGAGTGGCTGGTTGGATTTTACCACTAAATATTCCAGTTAATCCTTTGTTTTTATCCGGAACATCAGCGCTAGGTGTTAAAGTTAAGCTCAGAGAGTTCAGTAATGAGCTTAAAAGTCCTGGATGTTGTTGCTCTGCAGTCCTGTCAGACATATCAGCCATTCATCCATCATTTATCACCCACAGCGTTAAGCCACTCACGTTTTCTGCTTTAAATCTATTTTTTTTTTCGCCATCGGGTAAAAACTCAGACTTTTTTCCATAAGCACTTTATTTTTAAAGCCCTGCTGACTTCCTGCAGTGTTTGGGAACATGAGGGACTGTCTGTTTGATCTGAAGCAGCATCCAAGCCGCTTCAAGGACTGATCAGAGCCCAACAGAGAGCCCCATTGTGCGGACTGCTAACTGAGAGGGAAAGAGATGGTGATGATAAGAGAGGCTCAGTGACTGATCCACAACAGGAAGCACAGGAGAGCAGCCATGAGCCTCCGCCAGCCCACATCCACCCTGGACAGGTATGAGCCTCAGATCCTCAGAGTCTGGCAGGTCCTGATGTCAGGCTGACTTCAGGGCCTTCTTGTAAAATAATAAAAACTGACGTCCGCTTTGGCTCAGAACAGGTCAGACAGGTTAACTGTAGGGATGGTGAAACTGGCTCCTGGAAGCACAGAGCACAGTGTTGGCTTCATGGTTCACTATCACTTTTATTCACCTTTCTCTATCCTGCATCCTGGAACTCTATCTTGGAGTTTATCCTTCCCACCACCTGCTGTGTTTCTGATCACCGCCATATTTATTTCCTTCTTTCTCCCTCGTTATTCTAATGATTTATTCCAATGCTTCCTACTACTATGTGTCACGTGACAGCAAGTGAAAATCACTCACCTGTTCAGGTAGAACTACAGACTGTTCATGTCAGGTGTGTGGAGGATAGTGATGCCCTCAGGTTATACCACATGTTCCCCCTTAAAGAAAAAATAACCCTTTTATAATAGGGGTCTTCAACGTTTTACAGGCCAAGGACCCCCAAACTGATGGTGAGATGGCACCCCCTAATTATAAATATTGTATGAAATGGTGTAATATCAAACTGGTCCTATAGTCACTCTATTACAGATGGGAATCATGTAATGTAACTAAAGTAATTTCTCCCTGGGATTATTAAAGTATTTCTGATTCCTGGTTGATGGGACAGGTGTTGTGAATGAAACGGTGTCCAGATTGAAAGAGCTCCTGAGTGTTGCTAAATGTGTGCATTGATGACTAAAAGACATCGACCTCCATTTATCTGTTTACTACAGTGTGTTGAATTCATGTTAATGAATGTTGTGCATTTAAAGACATTTCAATAAAAAAAATAATAATTGCAGGGGGAATATATAAAAAAAGTAATCAACCAATACTTTCGCGACCCCATACAGTACCTCCGCAGACTCCCTGTTGAAGACCTCCCTTCTAGTGGGTCAGATCCAGTCCGCAAAGCGCCTTTTAGAGTCATTTCTGCTTTAACTCACCTGGATCAAATAATTAGGTCCTTTCTTCTTCTTCTTCTTCTTCTTGATTTAATTGGCGGCTGGCAAACAGCAGTGAGGTAAATGGGTAATTTTGAGGACTCTGGAGAACTTGACTTCAAATAAGGAGGTAATTCACCCATTGTATCCAGGTGTGTTGGAACAGAGAGATTGTTAAAGTTGCAGGATATCGATCTTAAAGGATTTTAGTTTGACATATCTTTGGTTTTCTGTTAAAGATAATCTCTAACATAAATAATTATCCACTTTTTTTTAGTTTAAGTGCAATCATGTTTGAATGATGGTAGTTGTATACAAATGTGCACAAAACNAATTGCAGGGGGAATATATAAAAAAAGTAATCAACCAATACTTTCGCGACCCCATACAGTACCTCCGCAGACTCCCTGTTGAAGACCTCCCTTCTAGTGGGTCAGATCCAGTCCGCAAAGCGCCTTTTAGAGTCATTTCTGCTTTAACTCACCTGGATCAAATAATTAGGTCCTTTCTTCTTCTTCTTCTTCTTCTTGATTTAATTGGCGGCTGGCAAACAGCAGTGAGGTAAATGGGTAATTTTGAGGACTCTGGAGAACTTGACTTCAAATAAGGAGGTAATTCACCCATTGTATCCAGGTGTGTTGGAACAGAGAGATTGTTAAAGTTGCAGGATATCGATCTTAAAGGATTTTAGTTTGACATATCTTTGGTTTTCTGTTAAAGATAATCTCTAACATAAATAATTATCCACTTTTTTTTAGTTTAAGTGCAATCATGTTTGAATGATGGTAGTTGTATACAAATGTGCACAAAACTATGTTGATATTCTAATTGAACACAAATTAAAACGTGCTGATTTTCTTTTAAATCTGAGATCTTCAACAGGTGTTCCACAGAGGTACTGCATGGGGGTTGCAAAATTCTTTGCCGATTTGACTTTTTTTTATATTGCCCCTTGCAATTTTTTCCACTAGCTAAATGTCTTTAAAAACACATCAACATGAATTCAACACACTGTAGTAAACAGATAAATGGAGGCAGATGTCTTTCAGTCATCAATGAACACATTCAGTGACACACAGGAGCTCTTTCAAGCTGGGCACCGTTTTATTCACAACACCTGTCCCATCAACCAGGAATCAGAATCAGAAATACTTTAATAATCCCAGGGAGAAATTACTTTAGTTACATTACATGACTCCCATCTGTAATAGAGGACTATAGGACCAGTTTGATATAACAGAATTCCATACCATAGATATAATTAGGGGGTCCCAGCTCCATCTCGCCATCAGTTTAGGGGTCCTTGGCCTGGAAAACGTTGAAGACCCCTGCATTAAATAAGAAAATATGGTTTAAATTTCACGTGAATACATTTGTTCACACAGTAACTCGGATGTAAACATGTGAGATCTATCTGTATTTCAGCCACAGCTCTAGTGGGCGGCATCATCCTCCATCTGCATCTGGTCTTCGTCTTTTTACAAGGCAGTATGATGGACGATAATGCAGATATCAGTCTTTATTTGCTACGTTCTTGAAAAGATTGCGTTATTAATGCACTGGCTGGGATTGGGAAAGAACTGAAAGATTGCCAGATGTTCTCCAGCACTACCATCCAAGTTTACTTCTGTAAACACAGAGCATGCTTGCTTGTGATGTCATTGCGTCCTCTACTGCATATGTGGGACACTTAAGTTGCGTGAATGCAGCCAATTATATGTGGATTTGTTAACATATGTGATTGCAACCGCGCAATGAATCGGATCTCACAAAAATCGGATTTGAGAATTAAGGCCTGCGGTGTGAACGGTTTATGCTCAGAAACCAGGTCGTCTGCGACAAGCTCACTGCGACACACTGCTACGGGAGTATAACAAGCCATTAAGAGTTTCAATGCAACTGAAAAATTACCTTACCAAAGCGCAAAAACATTGAAAAACATAATTTTTTGCATTTATTTTAGCAGTTAAAATTAGCTCAGTTTGATGATTAATGAAATGCAACGAGTCACAATATACTCTAGTGTAATTGTTTTCTTAGATTTCACCAGGCTTTCCAGTGCCGGTCCTTAAAGGAATAGTACACCCAAAACATGATTAGCCTTCATTTC